ACTGGAGCCAAACCCAACCTACGCTGCCATCGCCCAGAGCGAGCCGTCCGGGAAAGATACGTGGTTCTTGGACAGTTGCTGCGGACAGCACATGTGCTCTTCAGGGCGCTTTGTTCAACGCGAACACCAACTTCAACGCGAGGTCGTCATCACAGTCGCCAACAATCAGAACCTGCGCACACGACGACAAGGCGTAGTGCAACTTCAGTCACGAGAAACAAACGTCATACTGCAAATGTCGAAGGTTTTAATAGCAGAAGGGCTCGGTTACAACTTACTTAGCGTCAGTCAACTGATGGCGAAAGGCATACACCTCGAAGCAGATAGCACCACTCAGGAGTTCAAGTTGTACCACGGAAGAGGAGGTCTCTACATCGGCAAGGCAGTCCTGAAGAACAACGTCTTCGTCCTCGACTTCGTCCCAGACCTTGGCACAGCTGACAGCGACGGGATCGTCACCTTCACCTCCTGGACACATCCACCGGATCTTGACCCCGACTTCAGTCCCGAAGGCTTCTGGTACTCGCACACCATTCCTGAGGCAGAACGAACAAGAGCATTAGCAACGATTCAACAATCGGGAGCAGCAGATACAACATCGGCAGCAGCAGATACAACATCGGCAGCAGCAGATACAACATCGGCAGCAGCAGAGACAACATCAGCAGCAGCAGAGACAACATCGGAAGCAGCAGAGACAACATCGGCAGCAGCAGAGACAACATCGGCAGCAGCAGAGACAACATCGGCAGCAGCAGCGGCAACATCGACACCAATTGCTGGCCCTTCAACTGCACCGACTCCAATCGACGACGACACTTCACCAACTCCTGCGCAGCAGCTGAACCCAACTCAACGGGAAGTCCATCGAAGCACCAACTTCACCGCCAGCTTTTACTCCAACTCCGACATATATCGGCGCTCACCCGGACATCGCGCCACCGAAGATATCTGGCACGCACGAATGGGACATCCAAGCAACACGATGTTAAACAACACAATCAGAGCAGGCGTGCTCGATAAAGATTCACTGCTCCTAACCAACGGAAGCGAACTTCGACGAGCTCGCGGAACGTGCTTTACCTGCCCCGAAGCTGACTTACCACATCGGCCATTCGCTTCTCATCACAATCCCAGCGCACCAGCTTACGCACCACTCGAGAAATTGTACAGCGACATCCTGTACAACCGCGAACCTGGACAAGGAGCATACAGCTACACCATCACGTTCATCGATGCCGCTACGCGTTACGTTTGGCACCTTAACCTCCCAAGCAGGGACATGGCCTTCGAGGCCTTCGTCGCTTGGCTCCCAGTAGCAGAACGAGAATCGGGCGTGAAGCTAAAAAGCTTCCAGTCAGACGGAGGAGGAGAATACACCTCACAGAGGTTCAAGCAGTACTTGGCAGAAAGAGGGATCAAGAGGCTCATCTCTCTTCCCTATGCTCACCAGCAGCAAGGCGTAGCAGAAAGGATGAACAGGACTCTCCAGAACACCATGCGCAAACTGCTACGAGGCATGCGACTGCCCAACCACCAGTGGCCCGAAGCAATGGACCACGCTGTCATGCTGCACAACTTGCTCTCGTCAGCATCGCTCCCGAACAACGCATCACCGCATCTGCTGTGGACAGGAAAACAGGGCAGCACAAAAATGTTAAGAGTTTTCGGCTGCATAGTACAGTACCGACCCCCATCTGCACGAGCCGGCCGATTTTCCCAACGCGCACAGTGGGGACTACACCTGGGCATCGAAAGAAATTACAACGCGTGGAAGATTTTCGACGTCCACTCCAAAGAAACAGTAGCAGCACGCGATGTCATTTTCTACGAACGACTCACCCTTCCGACGTATCTTGCCAACCTGGAAGAAGATCGGGACCCCACAGGCGGCTTCCGTGGTGACCGAGCCTTCGCCTCGGCAGCAGACGAAGCTGACTGGGACGAGCAGAACGTGGATGAAGCATCGGAGGAAGCCGGACCTCTCCCTTACTGCTCCGTCGACGTCCCAATGGATGACGAAAATTCTCGCGAAAGCGCCAACGCCGAAGTATTTTACCACTTCGCCGACAATGGTTACGTTACACCTGCACAAGTCAACACCAACGAAGCAGAACGTGTAGGACCAAATTTCAATCCTACACCAGAAGCGGGAGACGAAGCAGCTTATCCCGAGGACACATCACTTCCCCGCCACACACAGAGTGGACTCCAGATACTCGGCCTCGTCACCGCGGTCCACGGGACAGCCATTCCTAAGGAGCCTGCGACAGTTCAGCAGGCTCTGGGGGGGGAGCATAAGGAAAAATGGCGCGAAGCCATGGACAGAGAGCTGAAGGCACTGGAAGAACGCAATACCTGGAAAGTCGTTCCCATCGGTGTAGCACCGAACAAGACAGTACTCACCGGAAAATGGGTCTTCCGCGTGAAGACGAAGTCAGACGGCACCATCGACAAGTTTAAAGCCCGCTGGGTCATAAGCGGCTTCGACCAAGAACACGGACGCGACTTCACCGAGACATTCGCCCCAGTCAGCCGACACACCTCGCTGCGAATTCTCCTCGCGATCGCCGCCATGAAGAAAAAGAAGCTGCGGCAAATTGACGTCGCCAACGCATTTCTCTACGCACCTGTCGACGCAGAAATCTTCGTCGAGCTACCGCACGGCTCCAACGGAGAGCCCAACCAAGTTTGTCAGCTGCTGAAGTCGCTCTACGGCATCAAACAAGCTCCGAGGCTGTGGCAGCAGTACCTGCACGCAAGACTCACTCACATCGGATTCAGCCAGCTACCTCACGACCAAGGCATGTACCGGCTCACAAAGGGCACCGATTATATCCTCCTGATCGTCTATGTAGATGATCTACTCTACATCGGGTCAACCGACGGCGTCACCACCTGGTTCGAAGGGGAGCTACAACAAGACCTCACACTCACGGTCTCATCTACCGTTACGCAATATCTCGGGCTCAACATACGGGAAGAGGAGAACGCGATCTATCTCAGCGCCGCGAAGTACGCCGACACCATCGCCAAACGCTTCGCTCTCACACCGACCACCATCTCCACGCCATATCGCTACACGGCAGGAAACCACAGGGAAGGATCCGCTCCACTAAAGTCCGCCGGCATACGCGACTACCAGAGAAAGCTAGGATGCCTTCTCTTCGCAGCTGTTACGTGTCGTCCAGACCTATCATACTCCGCAAGCCAGCTCGCCACCTACCTCAAGAAACCTGAAGCAGATCACATGGCAGAACTCGAGCGCGCTCTCCACTACCTCGTCAGCACCCCAACCGTCGGGCTAACCTACCACAAAAACGGAACCACGACTCCTAAGCTAATCGGCTACGTCGACGCCGATCACGCCGGCGACTCCGATAACAGGCGTTCCCGCACCGGCTATATCTACCGCTTCGAACCTATCGGTCCTATCTCGTGGCAGTCGAGTAAGCAGGAATTAATCGCTCTCTCCTCAGCTGAAGCAGAATATATCGCACTCTGCTCAGCCACCAAGGAAGGATTGTACCTTCGCGAACTCTTGGAGGAAGCGAAGCTGGCTCAGTTACCCAGCTTCACTCTGTTCTGCGACAACCAGTCAGCAATTCGCATAGCCAACAAGAACGGCTTCGCGAACAAAACGAAACACATCGCCCTACGATATTTCTTCGTGAGGACGAGATCGAGAAGGGGAGACTCGAGCTGTCATACTGCCCTACATCCGAAATGGCAGCCGATTACTTGACCAAAGAAACTCGGAAAGCAGAAGTTCGAGTACTGCATGCTGCTGACTGGACAGAGCCACGTCACCAGCAGCGACACTCCAGAGGCGAAGGGGAGTGTTGGAAACAATTGATTTAAGCGCCCCTGTCGTGTCGAAACACCAAGTTCAGACGCGAAGCACAACATATCGAAGCGTCAGCGAGTCAACCCTCGGAGGTTGAGCAACTGCTGGAAATACGCGAAAGTCAAAGGTCAGCGACCTTTGACCTGACAAGTACAGCGCGACAGCAAGGACAAACAACTGACTCGCTATTGAGCAGTTGCCCGAGTCGTCACTGTATCGAACCGCAACAGCAACAGCAAAACAGTTATTAGTTGTAACTGTTCATATTCCCTTGTACTCTTATAAAAGCTTGTATCTCTTTGTTTTAATCAATCTACTTTGCCCTCACATACCAGCGCAAGGTGGTTCACAACTCTTCATTAAAACGCTTCCGCTACCGTCATCGCCCGGATATAAGACAGTGTTGAATAGTAGACAGGGGTTGTCTACTATACGGGTGTCTCTTATAAACAGGCTAGTCTTTTTATACGACACCTATTTGTGTGTACGAGATAAGACATATGTGTCCTATAATCGAAACTGCAATGTATTATAGTGATAATTGAAATACCGCGTACAGTTTTACCCTTGCGACACGCGAATTCTGCCACGTGCTGACTCACGTACCACCAAATTTGCCTCTGCAAGTATTCGGGATGACGTGGCGTCCCGAACAATGGTTGCCTAAGTGGCACCTTCGCAACATCCACACTCTTAATGAGAAACTCTTTTCAAGATGCGTGAAAATATTTCTAAGTAGTTTAAAAAAGTTTCCATTTATAAGACTTATAAGACAACCAAAACCTCCCCAAATACAAGATAACCCAAGCATTTTTTTTAGTGTATGAGATAAGACATATATGTCTTATATCCGGGCGATGACGGTATTACATCAGTCCTACCAGGAATTTAGTCCTGCAAAGATCCTAAGGGCTTCTTCTCAGCCCAACACTAATGAGAAGGTTGGGTTGGAAGTGCACATTCCATACTACCTAATGAACGCAACAGCACGAAGCATCATTGCTAACCAATGCCAATTTAACAGAGGTATACAGTGACAAACGGCTGCTTGCACAGCCACACCAAGTACTACTACTAGCTAGTGCAAGCTATACTTGCACAATGACCCATTTGTACGAAGCTACCAGTAATATACCATCCCCAAATCGCTCAGTCAGCCCCGGCCTTCAGATATAGTGTCCAGCATGGTTCTATATTGCGCCAGATCCTGGGAGTGACAGACGATTTGTGGGAGTAACGGAGTAGAAGTGGGATTTATGGGGAAGAACTCACAACAGGGGAACACAGCAAGAACGAAACATTTAATGCATGTGTGGAGAGTCAGATGGGGAGGGTTGGGGGGAGTGGAATGGAGTAGGTAGCAACCCTAACTGCATGTGCAAAGGCACTGACAAACCCTTCGCGAATTCGACTACCCTCTTCGAAACATCTGCGCGACAAAGGGTCTCACCTCTGTGAGTGCAAAGACGCCGATATCATTTGAGCGGAGGGGAGAGCCCCTGCGGAGGAACTTGCTTCCTTGGAAGATGTAGAGCATGGGGACGCCCGTAGAGAGCTCCAGCTCAATCACCTGCATGATCAGCAAGTCACATCAAAAGGCAATGGCAGTGAGAAGCAGGGGGATCAAAGTGGTGAATTTGGTCTCCTTTTGAAGATGGTTCCTTGGAAGACATAGAGCATGGGGACGCCCGTGGAGAGCTCCAGCTCTATCACCTGCAGCGTTTCAAGTCAAATTTGGACAAGACAATGGGGGTGAAAATCAGGGGGATCAAGGAGGTGGATTTAGACTATAAATTGCTATAAATATAGACTATAAATCAGGGGGATCAAGGAGGTGGATTTAGACTATAAATAGACTAAAAATTGCTCCGTTGAAAGATGTAGAGCATGGGGACACCTGTGGAGAGCACCAGCTACATCACCTGCAGCGTTTCACGTCAAAACGCAATGGCAGTAAGAAACAGGGGAATAAACTTCTGCAAGACATAAGCGAAACTACCATGCAAAACGATAAATATAGTAATGCCACTCGACGTGATCCTTGAAATACGCCGCAGCGCGCTCAGCGCACATGGCGAGCTGAACATTCTAGCGCTCCCTTCTCTCAGAGTTGCTCAGAGCGGAACATAGCACTTCACACGGCACGTGACATACCTCCTGCGACGTAAGGCTGTCAAGGTACATGATGATGGCACGAAGCGAGTTGCCATGCGCCGCAATCATCACATTCTCGCCAGCCGTGAGTCTCGGCTCCACATTTTCCTTGAAGTATGCCACAGCGCGCTCAGCGCACATGGCGAGGGACTCGCCGTTGGGAGGCGGGACGTCGTAGGATCGGCGCCAGAGGACGACCTGCTCCATGCCGTATTTGTCTGCCGTCTCCTTCTTGTTCAATCCTTGGAGTTCTCCGTACCTGAAGGTCAGGGTTGGGAAAGGTTGGATTGGGGGTGCACGCGTATGACTGACTTGCTTGACTGCTGACTCCCGGTTCAATCCCCGGACTCACACGTTGGATTCGCACGGCTGGTCGCTGTGTGAGGGTTGAATACATTTATGCCTGGAAATCGATTCCGGTATCTGATGATACTGTGGTAAGTCTTTGGACGACTGGCGGGCGACTGGAACCAAAAACAAAGAACCATGCGGCGAGAACCAAAACGAGAACGAATGAGGCGACTCACATGCGTTCGTTCAGTTCCCACGCAGTGATCACGGGAATGATCTCCTCATCAGTGTTCTCGCTGAAGATTCGGCTCCAATCCTTGGCTCTCTGGCTCTCCTCGTGCAGGATGACAGGAACCTGGACGAGCACGCAATAAAAAAGAGACAGGAAAAGCGAGACGGGTGAAGAACGGACAATAGTACCGAGAGTTTGTCTGGGCTGGATTATGGTCCAAGACCCTTGACATTGCAGTGCAGGGGGTGTGTAACATGTTCCGATGTTAACCTTTATTGGGTGTTCTATCAGGAATTAAAAACCATGGTTCACACGCGCAAAATTAGCTTCAAACGAAGTAGGAAGAGACATTTACTCCTCCTCGTGATGGTTATAAGGCCGTTCTCACCTTGTTACGGCGATGCTGCGTCATGGCCAGCATGGCGGTCATTTGAGCGCGGATCAACGCGGAGGTGAAAATGACATCCACGGGAATCTCGGAGATTCTCTTTCCTGCTTCAATGGCCTCATTGACACCCTTCTCCGACAGAGGAACGTCCACGCAGCCTGTGAATAGGTTCTTGGAGTTCCAGAGAGACTCGCCATGTCGGATAAGGATCAGCGCAGCGGCCTCTGCGCAACACAGGTTTGGAGAATAATTAGGAAATGGAGACTTTTAAAGGCTGTCACGGAGATGCTGACAATCGCGTGAAAGTTCCGCGAAACGCACGGATGAGGGAGCGATTTCCAGAAAAAGATGCTCTGACTCTCTGAGGCTATTATAAGAGATTAATGCAGAAGAATCCGGTATGCGATCACATACTTTCTGTCGCTGCTCCGTTTTGTTGAGCGTCCGAAGCGGCCTCAGCACGAATGGCTCTCCGAAGCGATGTTGATCCTCTGCATATTATCAAACCATCCGATTATCAGTCTTTCCGAGAAGTAAGATCAACACTCAACAAAAATAGGTGTTAAACCTTCACTGGTGGTTGGCCAAACGAACGAAACATACCTTGCGACCTTTGCGTGGGTCTTGAGGTTGGAATGGAGGGATGTAGCTGATACTGATCGGAAGAAGGCAGCATTCACGACAGACTTCTTTGAAACTGGATCAGAAATGCTCTTCAATGAATGACGGCAGTGAACTGCATTTCCAGCTTGAAGGGCCGCCATGCTGTGAGGATAGTGAAATCCGGAGGTCAGCGAGAAGTTACCAGCACCAAGCTGATCGAGACACGAATGTCTGTCTGGATCAAATAGCGAACAGCAGCCACTTAGGCCTTGCTCTATATCGAATAACAGCCGTTTAGAATTAGCTGAGAACAACGGAAATTATTCTTCTGGCTTTTTAGCTTGCTTGGACTCCTGATTGGCTTTATCAGAAGCCAGTGAGTAATAGAAACCACTGAGCCAGCTGAAGCCTTCGCCACTCCACCACAGGACACGCTAGGGAGTGATTAGAATCACACAACTTCCAATGCAGAGACAGCCAATCCACAAGCCAGCCTCCACTTGACTCACTGAACCACTCTCACCCACTCTCACTAAACCACTGTCTCAAATCCATGAGGTTTATGTTCGTTTTACTGCGTTTCAGAGCGGTGGTCAAATGCACCGTGTTATAGCGAAAAGGACCTATCTGAACCGGCTGCCAGTAAGCCTGACAACAATGCTGGCCATTCCCATGTGACACCACCACGTCATTCGCACAAGCAAAGGCAGTCAGGATCCAAGGCTGAACTAGCAGCCGTTGAACCAACCAGAAAGGAACATGCCAAACCAGCATGAGCCAATCATCAACTAGAATCTGAGAACCATTTGCCAGCGAAGCCTAAATTCTCGTGCTCCGTGCCTGTAATCGACGTTCGGAGGGCTTGAGAAGGCTCGCGCATGTCAGCGTCGCCGAGCCGAGGATGCAGCTGTTCAGACCCTCGGAACAGATTCTTCTCGTGAATGTTCGTGGGACGTCGTTAGGCCATAGGCGAAACTCGTGACAGCTCTTGGAAATCGCGAATTCGGGCAAGGGAAGATTACCGCCGTTCGTCTCGAGGTTCTTGCAGCTGGGAGGGCTCGATCAGCCGCTCGCGCGCCATTGGATGATAAAAACGAGGTGCGCGGAAGTTCGAGGTTATGAGATCCTCCGTGTCCCGTGCCAGGACGAACCCGAACACGTGGCGAGGTGCTGTAGGCTATAAGTTAGCCAATCGAGTTTCGCTTCTTAGCCTCCAATCTAGGGTTGCCATGCAAAAAAGTAGCTCATCCAATAACGATAATGGAGCGGTAAATGTCACATTCGCGTCATTCCAGATCAGCTGGCCCGGTCGCCACCACAATTCCCTCAAGCCGCTGAACCTCACTGCTGGACATTGTCCTCTTGGCAGTTCCATGCCTCACGAAGTGACCCATCTGACGAAAACACTATCCGATATCCAACATAATTGGAGAGCACTCTCCTGCTAATTGTACTGGTGTAGCGAAGAACTTCTAAACGTAACAAGAATGTACTCCAACTTCCATGAAATATAAAAGCAGGTTATCAATAGGACAATTGACACCAATTTAGGTGGAACATGTTGAGACCAGGGCTAATTTTTGGATTTGACCAACCCTTGGGATCAGTGTACCACATGCTCAAAAACCTTATTATCAGTGTGACCCCTTGTGAAAATTCTTTTCCATCAGGGTAATGTCGGTTTCCAAAAAAAAAACCCTGTGCCATCAGTGTAAGGTAAAAAAAAAGCCTGATCAGTTGTTTTTAACAATGCACTCAATACAGATTTCATTCATCATCATCAGACATGCCACACGGGGGTTCAGCGTGGTCACTTTCCTCTTCTGGCTCTGGTGCTTTCCGTTTCCCCTTCCGATCCACAGGTGCCGCGTGCGCAACTGATTTCGCCGGTCGCCGGGTTTTCTGTTTGCGCCAGATGTCCACCACGTCTGGCCAGACGTACGGATACTTGAGCATGTGCAACGTCATGAGGTCTCCTAGGCGTGCGTCGCAAAGCGACGTGCGCATCCAGCTCTTGATGATGTTATGGCGACTGAACCCCCTCTCACACTCCACTGTGCTCAGGGGCAGCACAGCGAGGGCCTGCCAGAGTGTCATCAGGTTCGGGTAGCTGCGCCGCCAATCCCGGCTCTTCAACATGTTTTGAAGGCCCTGGTGGAAATCTTCCCCCGCGTGATGGCGCGACATGATGTGGCAGAAACTCCTCAGCTCCTTCTTCGCCGCCTTGAAATCAAATCCTGACGGGGAGGTGGTTTGGGGGGGTTGAAGTAGTTGGGGGAGCTCGTCATTTATTGCGTTGTTGTACCGTGCATGCGTGGAACAAGTCGAATCAATTGCACGAGTCAATTCTACCCTCACCTGGAAGCAATCCGCCAAACAGCTCGTCGTTTTGCGCAAGCCACTCGAGTGTCTTCAATTCGTGCTGGTCGTCTCTGGATGGCCACGATTCAACTTGAAACAGCTTCGCGCCGTCCAAATGCTGCAAGTCCCACATGCGGTACTTCATTCTCGCGACGATTTCCTTCGCGAAACCAGTGCACAGCTTCTCGCAGTCAGCAAGCGTGCCCCCAAACTTGTGTTTCTTGATAGGTGTCTCGCTCAGCTCGAACTTGTGTGTTGTCTGCCGCCCCTCCGCGTCAATCCCTTCAACCACCATCGTCCTGTTGTCGCCTCCATGCTCTTTGATGAACTTGGACAGCAGCTTGCTGACCCCGCCCCCAAATGTCGCGCCGTACACGATGTACCGGTGCGTGATGATGGTGATCGTGTGGTCGACTTCCTTGGCCACTTGTGTGATGTCCACCTGCCACTAACCAAGCACGTCGCAGCGGTCAGTCACAATAAAAAAACGAAGTATGATATTTAAACATGTACGCAACCACACTTGCCTTGTAGTGCTGGAAGAAGCGGTTGAGGGAGTTAAGCACGGAAAGAATGTCTGTGAGAAAGTACAGACAGAAATGGAATTTGAACGTTTGCACTGTTGCAGCAATCTTGTGCTTGTACTCCACAATCATGACGATTGCCGCCCCGAACACTCTGCATAGCCGCGCTATAGCGTCTCCCCGCGATAGCCATCTGACGTTGAACGGTCCTTGGTGTTCGAGGTTTGTCTTGTGTATCTCTTGTTGCAGCTCCTTGAACCTCTCGTACCAAATGCTGGAACGGCAGATGATTTCCCCCTCAGCACGCACAGCAGCATCGATCATGTTAAGGTCGGGGAAAGCTTTCGCAGCATCCTTGACCACCAAGGCTTCACTGCAGCAGACCAAAAAGGAAGATTAGTAACGCAGAAAATGGTGACTCAAACCATTGCGGTACGATAAATTCACATTCATTAAACCAGATCTTACCGATGCGCTACGCAGTGACATCCGACGAGATGCGGCACGCGCTCTTGCAAACGGGTAACCAAGCCGCTCTTCTCTCCCGTCATCACAGAAGCTCCGTCGGTACCAATGCCGGACACCCGCTTGATGTCGACTCCAATCGACTCCAGGTGGCTTGTGAGCACGGTGAAAATCGAGGACGCATCGCATTTGTGGACCGTCAGCAGCGCCAGAAATTCCGTGACGGACACGCCGTGCTTGAGGAACGTGGCAAACACAATCAAGTGTTTGCCACGAGTGCGATCCGTGCTCTCGTCGCAGGTCAAGCCGACGAAAGGTGAAGCGAGCAGATGTTGCAGCTGCTGCGTTTTCTGGAAATTTGCCATCGCCGACGCCATCTCGTTGAATCCGTATCTGCGACAAGATGAGGGATCAGGGTAATGAAGGGAATGGTCTTGTTACAGCATAATATGGGGACAAAGCGTTCAACCCAAACATGCATACACTTACTGCGTAATGTACACGCCATAGGACTGGAGCGGTATGTCCTCGACTCCCTCCTCTGCGAGAAAGCCTATTAGCTTCGGGAACATGGCGATCGGCGCGTCATGGTCGCAGATGAACTCCACGCCGCGCATGAGACGTGTAAGCCGCGCGCCCTCCTTGTCGGTGTTGGCGAAATCGTCGATCCGCTTCTGCTTCTCGATCTCCGCCATGAGCGTCCGCTGCCGTTTCATGGCTTCGTCGTGGCGGCCGCTCAGCTTGTGACAGCGCATCGAGCCGACCTGCAGATCGCGTCCCCTCGTGCCGTTCCGTCTGAACTTCGCGTCGTCTTTCCCATGTTCCACGCAAATGCTGCATCGCAGAATGGGCAGGCCCTCGTCGTTCTTGTCAAGCAGCAGCCAGTCAAACCTCGGCAGCCACTGCGTGATGTATAGCTGCTGCGCCTTAAGAAATTTCTCCTCAGCCTTCTCAGCGTCGGTGAGCTCACGGGACGCACGGTTCGGAGCTTGCACAGGAACGGGAGGCGGAGTCGGTTTCGCAGGGGGCGTGTCGAACGGTAGGAAGCCTTGCGCGAAGCGACGCCGCTTTTTCGAGGCTGCAGACGATGACTCACCCACCTCTGTGACGCTGACAGTGGCGGGAGCACTGTCTGGCGCGACGGGATTAGAGGCACACGGCGTTGCAACGGCCTCTTTCTCATTGCTGCAAGCAGACGGGCCTGCAGTGTCTACAGGCGGAGGGTTCGCATGCACCGCACGCAGAAAGTCGAGGCCTGTCCGCGCGGGCGGATCATTCGGTGGCTCGTCAGCAGCCTCACCCTCGTCAGTCTCTGCTGGAGCCATGGCTCCTCTACCATAGCGGAAGAAAGGCCTAGGCCGCCAAACTGTGCGTGTGTTCAATGGGAATGCAATGTGAAACCCCAAACGTGTTCATGCCACCCCCACCCTTTCTCGCCTCTGTTTCCTACCGTTCACGCAAACGTACTGCAGAGCCAGCCACAGTCGTGCAAGGACCATGGTGCCCAGTGGGCTTGTGGGCACCGACTATCTGCTGCAGTCAGCCGTGTTTCCAGCTAACCCGGCCTGTTGTCATGCCAGACAAACATATCGAGTTGCGGGGGTGGCGCAGCCTACGAAGTAACTGAAATCCTAG